GTAACATGCTGAAAGGTTCATTAAATCATTTTTAACAATCAAATGTGTTTTTATGATTTCTGAGTTAATAACTTCTGCAGGTTCGACTGCTATTGGACAAAACAAGGGATTTTAAAATCTCCCTCCTGAGCTCTGCATCAACTCGCCTGACTTAAACCTGTAGTTTCCTTCTCCTTCACATTGTTGTGTTGCTCTTGGTCCGTCCTCACTAAGCTGCAGGACTTTTTGACAGAACTCAACATTAATTGGATGATGTTTTGTTGACAGCACTGTAAGACTTTCCTTAGCAGAGAGGAGGCTTAATACACCGCCCTGTCCACGGTCCCATTTTAGACCAGGCAGCTTTCGGCTTATTTCCTCCACATGTAAACACTGAGTGCAGCCGGATACGAGCAGACGTCATTTTTCTTATTCCTAGCTAGTTTTTCTCTGCTGTATTGTTTGGGTGTGTTTTGAATCGTATAGCTTTTTGTCCAAGTTCGACAAATAATCACAATAATCAAAGTTAAGAGACTCCAGGCCGCTACAGAGCGCCAGTCACCTGTTTATTTCAATTTTAAGAACGTATCGATTCTTCAAATCACAACTACACCCAACTCTTGCACTTCCCCGGGCCCCTGAGCAACACACATCGAATGGTTCTCAAGATATGCGAGACGCATACAAAGATTTCTGGAATTTCGTAACTGGCTCACGTCTGCAAACGTTTCCACCACGACATTCTGTCCTTTGTTAATCCGATGTCTGTGTTTGTTTCTCATTTAAGGCGAACGTGAAGGGAGACAACTGCGACAGCTGTAAGCCCAACACGTTTGGGTTGTCGGTGCGAAACCCACTGGGCTGCAGCAAGTGTTACTGTTACGGGCTCACACAGTCCTGCACTGAGGCACAGGGACTGATCCGGATGTGGGTGAGTCAACACATCTCACTTTGTTTCACTTCCTGTCTGACATGTTTTCATTTAGAAAATGAGACCATGTGTTTGAACGACCTTTTCTTATCGTAGTCAAACGTTCAGAGGGCAGATGGTTTTATTGGCTTTATCTTCGCTCTCTCTGAAAGGTGTTGATCTCCAAGATGGACGTTTGAAGTTTGAATACACGGCACATTACATTCCTCATTATTTTACTATCATCAAATCTAATCAAGCAAATAAATAAAATAATTTCTTCATATGCAAACGTGAATTTCTCCGGCAATTTTATTTGACATGGTTGATTAACTTCCTTATTAGAGTCTAAACTGGCTCATGTTTTATTACGTCATGGATACAAGCGCATACATTCTACAACAAAGTGACAGCACCACAGAGTCAGCAAGTTCACCATCAGCTCTTTGAGTGGCAGCCTGTTTTCTTTTTTTTCTCTTTTTTTTAATAAAGACTTCTGCATCTCAGAAACGGTTGCCATCGCCGATAAACCTGGCGTTTCCATGGTAACCGTAGTGTTTTGGGATGGAGTGCGTCGAGACGTTTCATTTGAACGACAAACATTCACTTCATTTATTGTTCACACAGAAAGAGGGAGAGAGAGGGGGACAGAGCGAGAGTGGAAAAATTGAGAGTTTATTGGAAAGAGGGAGATTTTCTTTGAACCACTGAATCGTGAGATTACACTGAGTGGAGAGGGACACACACACACACAGAGACACACACACACACACACACATACACACAAACGCACTCAGTCCCCATATCTAGACACCATACACTACACAAACACTGTCTACATCCATTCACATGTGCAAACACACACACGTGTATTCTAACATACAGTACATTGTTAAATACTGCTCCACAATCTGCTCTGATGTCATTCACTTAAAAAATAATAAAAATAAATGAGATAAGAAAAAATTTAAATAACTCTTTCTCCTTAAAAAAAAGGGTCGGACGATATCATCACATTATGCAGAGATGCCCTGAAATGAAAACTTTTATTTTAAGAGAATAAGCAGAGCAGAAGACATCGTACATCTTTTATGTAATCCAAGTTTTATTGAGCAAATTGCAAACGACAATTTTAGATAAACTATATTAATGTTTGGAATTTAATTCATCAAACTAATTCTTAAGACTGGAATTGGCAGTTTCCGATCCCACGTGCAGCTTCCTCTATATCACCGCTGAGTCCACGTCATTGTGAGTTAATAGATTTTAGATCCTTTCCTATTGCACTCAACCAAAGACCACTCCTCCATATTATTCACACAATTTCAACACTGGAGGACGGACGGCAGGCCAGGCCCCGAGCGGATGAAGCTATTTTTAAATTGGTCCACTCAACCACAACCCACAGTCAATAATAAACCCTGATATTATTCAGGTGATATTGAAGTATCAACACATGAAGCGGGAGAAGGAGAAAGAAAAGGGCTTGAATTTCCTCAGCCAGTGGGTAATAACTCAAATATGATTTTCATATCAGATGCCAGAGACACAGTGAAAGCATCAGTTTAAGGTTATATTCTGAATAACAAATGATTTGACAGACCTTGAACAATAATAAACCAGTACATTCCAGCAAAGGAGCAGTCGTCTTATTGAAAAGAGCAACAACACTTTTCGTTTAGACTCTGTGATCGACCTGATGGATCTTATCTTCAGGTGAACTCTGACTATTTAATTACAATTGGTAACAGTTCAACGCCATTTAAACAAATCATATTTCTGTGACAGCAAAGTGTCGGTCACAGTTCACTATGCTCAGTATGTTCGACACTTTCCACAGGCTCAGGAGAATCCTAATGTATTAATGTTAGCCTCATTGTTGTGTGCCTCACTGCAGTTAGCGCTGAAGCCGGAGCAGACAGTGCTCCCCCTGGTGGACAAATCCAACACCGTTGAGACGAGGAGAGGCGTGAGCTTCCAGCACCCGGAGATCCTTGTCCATGCGGACATGGTGGCTCCGACCCTCTCCGAACCGTACTACTGGAAACTGCCCGAGCAGTTCAGAGGCTCCATGGTAGGAAACCTCCCAGTGACCATGATGACCTTTTCAAGATTTAATTCATCCAACTTCTTTTATCACATATATATATCTTCCTGTAGATCACAGTGTATGGTGGCCAGTTGAAATATGCCGTGTATTACGAGGCCAGAGATGAAACCGGTCCCTCCTCGTACGAGCCTCAGGTCATCATTAAGGGCGGTCCCAGCCGCAGCATCGTGATGACACGGCACGTACCGGGTCTCCAGATTGGTCAGCTCACCCGCCACGAGATTGACATGACAGAGGTAAAGTAAAGCTTCAGATAAAAGTTGCATGTTGATCAATAGGAACAGGATCTATATCATCAGTAAGAGATGGCAGTGGTAAAATGTGTCTGTGTGTGTGTGTGTGT